CAGCCTATAGGCTGATGAAGTGGAGACGGCTAAGAAACGGAAGGAAACAGAAAGAGAAAGTGTGAACATCTGGGGAATCCTTTCTGTTTTGAAAAAAAAACCTGCCCAAATAGCATCCAAAAGTAAATCAGAGTCCAAGGCAAAGGATTCCTCAAAGTTCCAATTTATTAAGAGAGCCACGATGGCACATCTGGGAATCCTTTGCTATTTGGAACCCTGACAAATAGTGCTACCCACTGCATTTTTCACCACATAGAAATAATGATGATAATCCATGGAAAAGCAGCTTCAGCTGGAAAAGGCTTAGAAAAGCTTCCTCATTGCAACCAATTGTGCCATGTAAATACAGTTACAGGATCTCTTGTACACTTGGCTTAATTGTTGTAAGAATTCTTATAATGAAAAAATAAAATAATGAAAATTGAGAAGGGCTCCTTGGCTGCCAAATCAAAACCATGATACAGAATGATCTAGCCTTTTTGCCATGTTATTGTTGAGGTTGGAAAGACATTTAGAAGGATTTAGATGCAAATTCATTTTTAATTTTTTTTAAACCAAAGCATGAAGTGACATTCAGATATCATTCAAAATGTGTATACTGTTTTTTATAAATATTGTGGCACTCTTTTCTTTAAAAAAAAGTGAAAATTCATATAGTATAACCCGAAAAAGCATTATACTGGGAAATTCTTTTGTATGGGGTTGTGGGGAGGGAAATCTGTAAAAATTAGGCAAAATTGCAAAACTAACATACATACATTTTGAGATGCTGGGCAAAAAAACCCAACATTGGGGTGCTGACTTTTGTAAAAGACCATCAGGTTTAGCAGAATTGCATAAATGAGAAAAAAAGAGAGGAAATTAGGACAGCAGATTTGTAAATCACGGGAATTAGGATGGATTAGAATTGACAGATTCACCCATTTGCCACATACATGCCTCCAATTTGCCTTTATGCACTGTAGGATGTGGGGACTTCTGGCCACTCTGCTGTTTTTCCCCCTTGGATGCCTCGTGGATGGTGCATGTCCCAGGACCGTTTTTAACCACTTCAATGAGACACCGTGCCTGAATTTGAGTATCCAGAACCCTTATCCCAAAGTTAATTTCACTATGTGGAAACTAGTGAAAGAGTTGGATCTATCCAACAACAACATCCCAGAGTTATCAGAATTGGAGTCTCCAAAAAAGCTGGAATCGTTGTTTCTTCACAATAACAAACTAAAGAAACTTCCTTCTGACTTCTTTGACAAAACTCCCAAGCTGAAGGTCCTGCATTTGGAGAAGAACCAACTTGGCTCTCTATCCATTGAAGTGTCCTATCACTGCCTGCAAAAGCTCCGCGTGGACTGTCACTGCATGGTGGCCTCTGGCATTTTGGATTATTGCCACCACTGCTCAAACCAAAGCACCCAATGCCAGTGCTTCACTTCTGGAAGACTGGATAATGTAACGGATTACCACAAGAATTCCTGCTTTGCTGGCACTGCTAGCACTCGGTATGGTCTCTATGTTGGCATCATCGTACCAATTTTGATTCTGCTCCTGTTGGCCATCCTGGCTTTCTTAGTAATCCGGAGGAAGAAAGGGGCCACCATCAACCAAGAAAAACGACCTTCCAGCGCATCTGAAGGCACTTCTGGACAATCGAGGTACATCAGCCGCTTACCTCAGCCCCGGGAGACATGCCAGGACGCGGAGTTCCAAAAAAACTATGAGAACGTCCTGAATGAACAATCCAAGGGCAAAGCGGGCAAAATGAAAAGCGGGCATGGCAACCACCAGAACCGGAAGCAGGCCAAAGCCAAAAGGTGAGCAACCGGGAGGCAACATGTCTTGGGAAAGCATATTACGTCAGCATGAAACTAAAAAAAACAAAACCCTCATTGCTTTGCTTGGTGCTTGCAAAGGGATGCCCCCCAAATAGGTGGGTGGAGGGTCATCATGGCCCATTTGGGGCCAGGTTTTAAGAGTTTTAAAGAGTGAAGTGGGTGCCTTAAGCAGCTTCAATGTATTTACTCTATTCTGGCTTGGCCAGACTGTATCTAGAATATTGTGTCCAGGTTTAGCCCCAAATTTTAGAAAGGACGCTGACAAACTATATATATAGTGTGACATTAGGCAGTTATATTACCCACTAGCCACAATATATATATTGTGACATTAGGCAGTTATATTACTCACTAAGCCACAAATGTAACAAGGCAACATAAAAAAATGGCTTTCTGCCTGCATGGCTCCCAGAGTGAGCCGATACACAGAAAAAGGAAGCAGTATGCTCCCTCCC